AAACTATTTTTCCTACTGGATTGCTTACGAGAACCAACCAGGATTCAGCTTTGAGTCACCTGATCGAAAACTCTGCGTCCTGATTGGCTTTCGTAAGCAACCAGTAGGAAAAATAGTATCGTGTGCCGTTGGCTTTAGTTCCCCTCCACGTTCCCCCTCCAGACCGGCGGAGTGACGGAGACAGCACCTACCTCTATATCGTTCTGTCCTTTAGAAGATGCGGACAACCATCTACATATATATGTCTATGGTCGACATCGACTACAGTTCTACAGTCACCGTTCGCGATGATGGATAACAAGACGTAAGTACTACCGTGTCTCGTGATTAAACTAACGTAATAACTAAATAATATTTTTACAGGACTGAAGACAAAATATTGGCCGAGGCAATGGCCAGGGCGGCGGTGTCGGAGAAGCAAGTGGACTTCGCGGCGCCGGCCCAAGTCTCTACAATACCTCCGTTGCCATTACCCTTGCCGTTACCCTTGCCTTTGCCTCCGCCACCGCCACCGCCGCCGTCATCGGTCTCTCCGCCGCCGTCGTCGTTGCCTCCGCCGCCGTCACCACCGCCAGCGTCTTCATCATCAAGGACAACGACGGTGAAGTCTAAGCGTAAGTCTAAAATTTGTTGCATAAACTACACGGTCGATTTCGCGTGCGCGGTTCTAGCCACGCTTTTTTATACTTGACGCGAGACTACCGTGTTTTGTTTCGTACAATCGTATAATACTTATGTTCTTTTTTTTACAGCAAGATGGCATCGTGCTGGGCGCGGGCGCAACGAAGGGTGGAACAGCCGCGGCCGCGGCCGCGGTCGTGGCCGTGGCCGTGGCAGCGGCCGCAGCCGCCCCTACGCTACAAAATATCGAAACATTTACTTTTATTAACGCACTGTCATATTTACGATTGTGTAGCGAACAAGGGTAACGTTTACCAATTATTAAATAATATGTTCTGTATTTTTTTAGGTTACTCTTTTTAAGATTAACGTTACACATGTCCTTTGATTCCGTTTTTCCAAATATGAGAATACTAAAAATTAATTTTGAATTTATTCTTAATCTGTTAACCGGGCAATTAATTCGTCATTGGAAAATACTTCTGTAACGCGCAAGTGAACTCGTTGCGACACTTTAGTAAATACGAATGATTACACTTGTATACTAAAAGTCTAGATATTATTTTCTTGTGTATTTTCTATCTATATCATGTATTTTTTATAGCGCCACAAGATAGGTTAGTACATCTTCCAATTCAGTAAGGCATTTCGCATTTACTGCGGGCAAGACGAGTTAACACATTAATAGATTATATCAATATTTCTTTACAAGTGTATGTACTATATTGCTAAACTTATATTCCACGTACGCACACACTTGAATACAAGATTGTTGTAAAAATATGATATCGTTTACGTAATATAAGTTATATCTATACGCTTAGCATTTTTATTGTAATATGTTCAATGTAAAGAACGCTAAAATATTGTTTAGTGGCTGGATTATTATGTATTATATTTGCTTAATAAAGTAATACTAGTACTGAAAGTAAATTTTTTTTTCAAACTTCAAAATGTATTTATTGATAAAAATAACATTAATAAAATTCGTATGGCTCAAATGCGATAAACACAAATTTGAAGGAATAAAGGACTAAGAGCCGTGACAGGGTGTTAGAGTCCAAATATTTTATTCTAGATTTATTGTGAAAAAATATCACCTCAGCCAGGGTTTGAACCTGGACCTCCTTCTCTCGCTAAGCGTTTCAACCAATTCGATCACCGAGGCCTGTGGCAATATTCATCGCAATAAACAGTCTAATCTTGATTGCCGATAATAAAAATAAAATATGTAAATACAAAAGAAGGTGCCAATAACTTTAGAAATTGTATTATAAATATCCTAGTGTTCAATTATTTTTACAAGAATTTACAGTGATCCATTAAACCCCGCGGGTTTTTATTAGTAAGTAATTCTATTTCTTTCTGGCCACTGGGTGTTATGTTTCTGATCCATTTGCGATCTTTGTAGTACTCTATCATACTATCGAATTCCGTAATAGTATGTTACATGAAATTAAGAAGAGATAGTTCGTTTTGTCATTAAGAGGAACCTATTTAAATTAATTTAATGTCTACATTATCGTGTATATATCTTTTATTATACAGGTATCAAATGTCTCTCTCACGTTAAATGTCTCTCACATTATAAATCTCTGAATCGTTTTTCAGTAGTGTTAACGTAACTAGTTGACATCGCATCTAGCTATTTTTTTACAGTCCTTTTCGGTTTGTATTTTTCTCGCACGCCGTCATTGAAGCCTTCTCTATTTCTCGCGAGCTCTATAGCGTAAAATTGTACTTCGCAACAAGTGCGAATAGCCATTATTATGATCATCGTCGCAAATAGTCGATGTCGTAGCAATTAATTATCCATCGTTCGTAATTATACAATAGTTATACATTGTTTCATCCCTTGCTACTGTTCACCCACGCATTTTACACATTTACATTCAACATGTACACACGCATACAGGCACATACAACACGCACATGCATGCACGCACTTACTCTCGTCCTCTCTCGTTAGTCTCGTCGCTCGTGTCGCCGCTCATAAAATCTTTGTTACAATTTACCCTCTAACATGATTATTATTTAGATAGACCTTACTGTTACTTCGTATACATTTTTAAGGCGATGATTGAATCGAGTGAACTCATTTATAAAACGAACAGCCAATATGACGTCCGCTTGTTCCGTTCTTCGCTCGAATTGTGCCGATATCCGCGCGCGTTCTTGATCGTGCGATCTCCTTCGTGTCCGCTTCGAATTAATTCGGTCTTTCGAGTTTTCCCGCGCATTTCATGTCATATCGAAGCTGCGCTTTAACTGAATTGATTCCGATAGATTGCTGAACATTCCGTGCGTCTATGTTAATGCTTTAACACGTTCTACAAACTGAGTTTTGCTGTTGCATTGACATATTGCGTGACGCTAATAATTATTAAAAATTATTAAAATATAAAATTATAGGAAGAAAGAAAAATCATTGCAAACGTTATAAAAATTTCATTACATATGCTTCAGACTCTTCCGCAAGATCTGTGTAAATATTTCTTCTATCTTCTATAATTTTGTTAAACGTCACTCTTCGTTTGAGAAATTAATGGTATATAGCTCATATACAATCGCATATGCATAACACAATGTATATATCGTCGGGCATAGCCAAAGGCAGGTCTCAACAAAATTAAACAATATATCGTTCAACAAATATAATTTATAAAAATACGCCGTTGCCTTTGGTGCTACGCGCGACAGAGGAAATGTCAGCCGTCACCGAGTTCTTGTGATTGTATGCATTCTCTGTAACTATATTTATAGCTTTATCATTAAATAGTAAATAATATAATATTAATTTTAGCCCTGGGATGATTCCGCGCGCCGAAATTAAACGCGCTCTCCTAGAATCGATCCTTGCACATGTGAAAATTGTCGAGTGAAACGGTCAATCGATAAAAACAATCCCTATTTTCTACCTTTTTTACCTATAAATAAATACATAACGTATTGTAATATCATAAAGACTCGATATTAAAAGGTTTTATTTAAATGTCAATTCTTACCCGTTTATATTTGTGAGGGAATGTGTGGCTCTCAATGGACTCTTGTGTAGCCCCACAACTTATATGAGCCATACGTCGAAAGTCAGCAATGCGTATGTAATTGTCTATCGAGATATGTCTCGCATATGACGTGTCCCTTGCAATACAAATTCCGACATACTCGGTGCATACGGCACTATCTGGTGTGCTGCAGATCCTTGCTGTATGTGTATTAAAGTGATACGATAAGTGCAAGATATATTTAAAGAATTTACGTGTAACGGACTTGGCAGCAAGTAACAGAAGACAAACCATATGAGGGGGATGGAAACTAATGTGTACATGATGATGCATGGCGTTGCGACGGCCGTTGATGCGGATCGTAATGATACATATGATGATGCACATGTTGGTGTATCGGTTGATGTATCAACCGACGGTAACATCAGCGAAGACATCGAGTCTACTGGCTGATTATTCAGCGAATTTACCTGCGAATATACATGAAATTCAAACAAAATATGACATCGAGGCACGTTGCGTGAATCGTTAGATTACGATTATAGGCAGCACTGGGCATGGTCCCCTGTAGAAGCTAGATGGTCCTCGAGCCTCGGGATGACTGTAAACAGTAGGCTGCTGCGGCGGCGGTAAAATAGGAGGTGGGAGATAATTTTCCGTATACGCTGTGCTATCCGTTCCATTATTGCACCGAGTATTCGGGGGGCTATTGTTCCTCTCCCTCTCCGCAAGTGTGTTGCGTCGATGCATGCACGTGAGCGTTACATGGTCCCGTACTAAGTAGACAATTTTGTAAAGATGCTCTTGCGCTTAACATGGAATATAATGTAAGTGTATTGAAGTACTAACGTGTGATGAGACAAAGATCTGGGGTAAAGTCTTCGTCTATGTTGCTTCAGCTTCCTGGAGTACAGGGAGTTCAGATGTGGCTTCAGCACCTTCTCGCCGACAGCGACGTGGATCGCCACCATGCAGAAGACCGCGCTCTTGCGAACCGCGCTTTCGGTGTCATCGTAAGCCTGTGAAGAGAAATAAAATTAATACCTTTATAAGGCCAGGCATAACCTTGCTAAGATGAGGTTCGATAGCGTCCCGACCCCATTGCTCCACCACCTTGTGCAACATTTTTATCGCGCCCATATTCATTGGATATGGTTCTGTAGCGATTATAGTGGAGACTAAATGAATAATTTCTTCCGGCTTCAAAACTATGGCCATTGTCGCCGCGCACTTCTCCGCGTTCCAATGGATCTGTTATGAACGACGCCATAGATATAATCATAGCACTTTTAATTCCTGTTAGTTAAAAAGTAAAACGCGATCGATACTCACTGGAGACCTACCGCCGCTACTGCTGGAAGATTCGACTTTTTGATCCGATTTGTAGGTATAAATTAGTTTTAGTATTAATAATTCATTGTAAGACGAAAAGCTTTCTACCAGGTCGGGGCATTTTAGTATACCAATTAGCGTTTGCAGCACTTCTACTTGTATCACCTTCTCGTCATTGGATAACCTGTGTAAGAGAACTTTAAGCATTTTCCTAAAATATTAGACAATTGTTAAAATCGCCAGGATAACTATTAAAACACATTGCACGTTCGTATACTTACTTTTGTTGTTATTATGAGAGACAACGAGACAACACGTTATTATTAAATAAATCGGCACAAAGGTTAGGTTCACTCTATCACTCTATTTACGGGCGCTCGTTAAAGTCGGTAACGTCAGTCACGTCAGCCGCGCTTGCGAGCGCCACGCGCGGCAGACGACGTTTCTTAACGCGAATTCACAACCACGGACTTTGCATTGCAAGCAATATCTCCACACATGAGGCACGCAGGAGAAAAGTAAAAACACTTTTATTATACAAATCGTACCCAAGCGTACCACACGTGTGGCGGACGAGCCCGCCGATCGCTGGTAGGGGATGAGGTACCCCGACTTCAAACCTCCGGCCTCCGGGGCCGATAGGGGGGAGCTTGCTCCCCTCACCGGACCGGGTAGTCTTCCTCCCGTCGTCCCATACGCCGGTGTTCCGGCGGGGCGGCGGGGGGTGACCCGGACGGAGAAGGGGTGGCACGTCATCGCCACCCCGCCTCCGCCCCATCTCCCGGGTTGGGCCTGAACGCCATTGCACGTCGGTGCTCCGGCGGGCGGGAGGGCCTGATCGGGGAATGGGGAGGTCCCTGAGCTCCCTCTAATGCCGGTGTTCCGGCGGGGGGGGGCGAGGGGACGGAGCTCCGCTGTCGGGGGCCGGACGTGGTCCGGTCGCGCCGGCAGTGGAGGGCCCGACCCCGGTGGCTTAACCGTGCGTGGCGCGGGTCACCGGGGGTCGGGAAGATAGACGGGTGGTGGGGCCGCTCGGACGTTTCCGAGGCGGGGCCTGCTGCCCGGAAGACCTCTCCGGGGGCCGCTGGGACGTCTCCCAGGCAGGGCCTCGGGGGGTCTGGAGGGTCGGTCGACAGTCTGTCGGCCGACATCCGCCGTCGGTGCGCGAACCGGCCGTCACCCTGTGTCTCGGGCCGTCGTCCCTTTCGAGGCGAGCGGTCTGG